TACTAACAACCAAAATTTAATTACAAAATACTATCAATTATAATATTCCTCGGAAACGTATTGCACCAATAAGCAAATTACATCTCGAATAATTGGGTTTTATGGGGAGGCATATAATATCGAGTAATAAGGAAATGTGGAAAATTACATTATACATAGGTCAGATAATTCGGAATAGTAATGGAAAACGTGATAGGCAATTGATTTCAATTCAATTTGTTTGTTCAGCAAAATTATTAGACTAAAAAACTTTTCAAAAGATCATACAAGAATTGTTTATACTTTTTGATAACACATTTCATAGATGATATTTTAATGGCACCAAAACAAAGAGAAATTAATTATTTCGATTTTATAAATAAATAATATCTCAACTGGTAAATCAATTAGTAGCTCCTCCTTATTATTAAACAAGTGTATTTTAAAATGAATCAATTGTGGTTTACATCATTCCATAACTTTACTGAAATCGAAGTTACGAGGAAAACAATGACAATACTACATAACAACGCAAGTCGGTCCGAGGGAATAAATGAATTTACCGGTTACATAACAGTCGAACTAAAAAAACTTTCTTTTGGCTCCGTACGGGAAAAAAATCAAATAATAATAACCTTATATAGATGTTATTATGTAGGACAATGGCAATATAGATGTCCTATTGGAACACGAGAGGGCAATGCAAAAAAAAAATAAACTGTAACAACGCTGTGAGTACTTTGCCGCACTATTTCCTTTCCTCTATAATATTAATCCTTAGGAGATAATGATACGAATTGAATGATCATATTATTACAACGATTTTACCTACTCCACGATTTCTTGCTATATATTTGCAATAATTTCACATGGTTGTAAAAAAACTAAATAATTATTATGATGTCGGGTCCTTCAAACGGCAAGCCTTGATTAAATATAATAACACAGAAAAAATGAGTGAATGATATAATGTGATTGTATGCAGCAGGCTATTTAAACCATTGATGAAACGGTGCTAAAAAATGGTTTAAATACCAAACATCAATAGTGTTATTAACAACGAGTCGTAAACGGACGTAAAGCGGCATTCGAATACTACTATCTGATATTTCATTAAAGAAATGTTAATAACTATATAAAATAACACCTATACAATTTACGATTTCTTATTTTATCAGTTAGTTCACAAAATATCATTGATAAAACTCGTAACGAAAAAATACCTATTAACTCCATAAAGTAAATTATTTACAAAATCGGTAGTTTTTATCGAGTACTTGTTAATAACCTACAGGTAAAATGCAATTCGCGTACCTATTTCTTGTTCGTTAATAGAGATATGAGACATGGTACGATGAATCGTATATTAAAAAATTCTGTTGATAATAATAGAATTAAAATAGCGTTGAAAATCTAAAATGTCCGGCTTATGTGGACATTATACACGAGATGTTACGAAAGTAAATGATTCGAATGAGTATAAACTTCACATATTTTACATCCGTTTGTTCTAAATAAAAATCTCAATAGTAATTATTTCTTTTAATGTGTATAATCGAGTTCTTTAAAGGACCTAATAGTTGTTAATTTTCATTACATTCAATCAACGTCTTACACAATTATTATGCATGAACTTCTACGTACAAACTCTTTTTTAACAACAATAAGTATACCCATACTTATTGATAATTTATGTATACACGAATTATCATTGACGTTCTATTGTTAGAGTGCCTACATTTTATTATTCCATCAGGTTAGGATATTATACTACGAACGAGGGTATTGTGAAGTCGCGTTTCCTGTCGTTGTTGATGAACGTCCCTATAGTCGTCACCCGCTAGTACTGTCAATAATCAAATAGAATTGTTTGTAAGAGGTACTTAAAGTCAGGAAAAACGTCTGCGACTGATCTTACCACTCTGACGTGTTAATGAACAAAATTTTTAAAAAATTTGTAGTATCTCGATATAAATTTACCAAAAAACTTAATCGAGTTTTTTTTTCCTCTTCGGTTAGAGACATAATGAATATGACTTAACAATGAACAGCGGCGTTCATATACTGTTGTTAAAAATCACGTGAGCATTATATGTTGTGCTCAAAGTGAATTCACTTTGCCTTCGGATTCAACGAAGAAAATACTTTTAATGTTCCGAATTTTCAGATATTCCTCCGTTCGAGTGTGCTTGATATACGACAAGATTTAAAATAAGAGTAGAAGAGAAAAATGCAATTTTTATGCGTGTAAGGTTCATTGACCGTCGAATGTTATTTTGAACCTATTGTTGATGTTCAATATTGAAATATGAACAGGTTGAAATATTTGCGGTTAACAAACTACAATGTAGTGTTGTTGCAAATCCTAAAAGACACGAGGGAGAAAAATCAAGTGTCCGATGAACCGAGTAGAGTCTAATTCGTCGTGTTCTACTCTATAGAGACATTGTTCTAAAATGTCATCTTTATTTTTCTTCGTGTGGCTATGATCGCGTTTTGCTATCCTCACTCATGTTCGTGTCATTTTTTTCTACTATTCAAACGGGGAAAAATATGAAACCGCAAAATAAAATCAAAAGTATCCCGCGGACGGACGTGATCGATGAAAAGTGACGGGAAAGTACTCGGCGCGTGTGTTTTACATTATTGTGAACGTTAAGCAAAACCGAGATTTTACGACACCAAATATTTTTCTTTATTGATCCGAATGATTCGTGCGGTTATTCAAAGTACAAAAACCACTGCGCATGAAAACACATAAAGACTATAAACAATCAATTGAAAACAATAAAACAACTTGATTCTAAAAGGTGTGCGATCAATATTGTCTATAAAATTATTATGGTACATCAGGAAAAGCACTGAAATCATACTACACAGATGATACATCTCGTCCAAGCAGCGTTCAAATGGGAATCGTATCCATTTTTGACCGAATAAATACACCATTTGGCTGGTCCTAAATTCAAATCTAAAGGAATCGTATAGCTATTTAGCTTGAAAATCTTAAGCACACATTTAAAAGGCCTCTCAAAAAATCACATGGCATAACTTTCGAAATAACACGAGCTCAAAGACCGTATCGACCGAACACTGTTCTGATTCAGTTAAGATGATTCCGTGGTCCACCGAAAACGAAAGTGTCTATCAATTTTTATGTCGTCTTATCTGCACTTAAGTATGTTGAGGATTTAGTTTTGAAAAATCACCGTAAATAAATGAGATTTATTCGAATTCACTGTGGCGAATTTCAGACTAAATAAAATCGAAAAAGTATAATCCACTATAATGTCAACACCATCTTACTCTGAAGATCGTTATTGATGTATTTTATTTTTTTCTACAATAACATTTGATTATTAAACACGTCTTTAATAAGACGATGGGAATAAGTTGCAATAAACAAATGTGTGTCAATTTACTTATTTACTTACCTATATGTACTTTTCATTGAGCATCCTCCTCAGACAGTCTTTATATTTCTCTAACTCTTTTTATATCTATCTAATGAAGAACAACACGATATTCAAAAAAGATTATCCAGAGTATGGAAAATAAAATTTGACCTATTGAATTTTTAGAACTTGTTGTGGCCACACTCAAAAAAAAAAAAAACAGTAAAAAATATTTTAACACGACTTTTCCTACTTTCGTCGATTAAAATTAAATGTGCCTTAAAAACCGATAAAATTTTGATTTATATTTTAACCAACAAAATTCCGTTAGGGCACACAATTAAGAATCCGGTTTTTATCATAAAGATACTAAATGGGAGCGGCAGTAGCGGCATGATGACAACACATGCAACAGGTTTTCATTAATATGTTTGTTTATATTATTACTAAAAAAGCCACATCGATAACGTGCGCTAGTATATAGTACAATAATAAAATCATTTTTTAACTTTTGTCTAAGTTCTCTTTTGATCGCTCAGTTAGTTGACTTTGTATAAAGCAACAACCATAAAATAGTAACTTATGACAACATAAAAGGTTAAAATTCCCACTTATTTTTGAATTGACGAAGTGTGAGATAATAATAACAACAAAATAATTTTTGATAACACTATGTGAATACATTTTTATTTTAGTGATCCCCGTGAAATAAAAATTTAATAGAGGAGAATGATGCTGATGAAATTGAACGAATTATTTAACCTACACATTAACATTGTACGTTTGATATGTAAACATCATCGATTTTGATAAATAAATGTAACGGTTGAAAATGATTTTTAGGGCGAGGTCGTATAAAACAGCGATTGGTAGATGAAAGAATCTACTGGAAATCAATATTTGCGTTACTATTTTCTTTTTATTTGTTCGAACTTGGACCCCTTTTTATTGCTTACGATACTTATTTTATTATCCTTTAACGCCGCCGCCGTTCGGCACGATTCGTCGTGGTTTACCCAAGTCAGACAATACACACGACTTCTGCCACGTTCCACTCTTGTATCATACACAAACAACTGTGCAAACCATATTAAATATATATTGTCTATGAACGTTCAAATGCAGGTTTTTTAGTCAGACACGATTGCCGTAATGATGTTGTGAGTCTTAGGAGTCGACACGCTTACAGAATTTATAATGATTTCCCTTTCGCTCGCATCTCAACCCCAACTTTTTCTACGCGCCTTTTCTTTTAGCCTATACTATCACTCGAAGATAATCATAATTGTGACATTTACCCAGTTTATATTGTTATTAATTATGTAAAATGTTGTAACTTTTTAATGAATTTACTGAAACCCCTCAGTCTTTTAAGTATAATGAAAATATTATATTGTTAGGAAATATAAGATCATTATTGTGGGGACTAAAATACATCGTTCTAACTAATTTGTTTTCATCATTTTAATTATTGACATAATAACATGTAAACTTTTCAAATAGAGTAAGTTTCTGTTATAAAGTGCATAGCCTTCCGACAATCTCAACTAATATAAGAAGTGTTCAACACACTTGTATTTTTTCCCTGTTCATATTTGTTATTTTATAAACCCAAAGTATACTCACTGTGATTTAGTAAAATGTTTGAGCATGTTGATAGATAAACATTCGCAGCTGACGAATTAACTTCTGAAAAAAAAATAAGTGTACATTATAATTTTGACAATAAAGATTTTTCTCATAATATATAATACAATATTGTGTCATTCTTGAGAACATAATATTTTTTAACCAATACAAATATATATATATATATACAATAGAAACCAAGTTGTTAATTTAATATGCGGAACTCAGTTCGATATTAAACGTTCAGGACACAACACCCAAATAGTCATAGCAACTGCAGCTCACCCACTTTAACTACGTCTGTCAATCACTGGAAAAATTGTTGTTATTATCGCGATTACACGCTAGTTGTTCGAATACAAAATAGCCATTCGGTATAGCGACATGTATTTTTTAAGATCAAGAAAACGTTTTTCCATAGAAATCAAAAGTAAACTATAGGAAATCGAATTTCGTTGTACGTATTGGTTGTTACTGACCGTATTATCTATTGTCCACAATGTGGTACTATAATATTATTTGTTTACACGTTTGATAGATAAACATATCGCAGAAGTCATTCATGATTGCATTACAAATCGTACACAATATCGTGTGAAATTATTGTACTTTTTATTTTTCTCATTCTTTTTTTTTCATTGACAGGTTTTGTTGAGTCTACAACCTACAGTGGTAAAAGTAAATCAGATAAAATCTGTAGAAGGTGCAAGTAAAATGACTTGATATTTTACCAATAAAACATTACAAAAAACAAAATGACATTATTTAATCAATTTATTAAGCATATCTTGATACTTAAAAATCTATTTGGCTCATATATTCATATTTGATATATTTTTTAAAATTAATGAATTTTTTGGAATGAAAAAGTATTACATTTTGCAAGTTAAAGAGACATTTATAGAAAATTCTTAAATATAATCGACCTAAATTATTATAATAAAGTATATCTGTTTTCAATATTCATGTTTTCATCTATAATTAACCAAATTTGTACATAAAATAATATATGAACTATAATATTATTTGTATATCTGATTATTTCAATGATAAAACTCTGATTACTTCAGATTAACATTTATCTATGGTAAAAAATTATAAGGTATTTTTATTTATCATAAACTTTTATAAATATAAATATTTTATTCACAAGTAAAAGCAATTATATGAATTCTCACAAAACGTCCAGAACAAAGCGGATTTTATACCGACACAGCAAATTGCATTGAAAATAATAATTAGTATTTATTTATACTATAATAAATCGTTAACACCTCAACTTAGCATCTCAACAACAGTCAGTCATTAAGTTAAACATGAGTTTATTTCGAATTCTTCAAATTACCTAGTGTGCGAAAAAAACTTACCTCAGTTATTGTGTGTACTAATAATATTTCATATATAAATTACAAACAAGAATGAAAACACTAATTCACAAATTTATTTAAATAAATTATACTCGCACGTTTAATATTAATAACTTCAGTTATAAACTTGAGCCGACTTTGCAAATATCTCACAGAATAAAAAGAATTCATTGACTAAAGTCATAAAAATATTTCATTTTATCCAGCTTGAGTAACGTCCTTTTAAAACTCAACTCTTAGAACCGACAAAATTTAAGCGTTGAGACGATTTTACATTATTCCGAAATTTGTTTCCAGCCGGAAAAAATAATTTTAATTTTGATACAAAAAAATAACTTTCAAATAGTAAAAAATAAATAAATAATCGTTTTAAGATTAAGTAAAACACCTTAAATTTCATCGAAGACATTATTTAATAAATACTTTTGTTATTTAACACTTCCAATATAATCTCAACCTTACTAAAATAGTTTAAAAATACATTCCGTCTTACAATAGATTGGTTAAGATACTGCGCAAATAAAAAATGTTTCATAATACCGATGAACGAATTCTTTTCAGCAATTTCGAGTATGTTTCGAAAATTAATGACGCCTCTATTATTCAGTATATTAATTAGGACATAGAGTATTGTTACAGTGGATGCGCAATACCCTATTTTGAACAGTAATAAGTGCATAAAGCATCCCGTTGTCCGGTACGCGATTAACGGACCACTTAGAGAACTGTGAAACTTACACCAGTACACTTCATACGGCGTTACGCATTTCCGTTTACACACACACGATGTGGTAAAATAACAGTTATTATTTACTTTTTTGTATTAACAATAAGTAATATCATTTCGCAGTTAAAAACAATGGAATATTACGAGAAGAGGTTAAACGCGGCTTACATTTTTACACGTTCAACAGTCCTAATAAAATGTAACACAATTTTATTTTAATATTTTTGTTGTATTGTTCAGAACGCGACGAAGATTTGTATGTAATATAGAGCTGTTAGGTCGTTACTCGATCACTGTGTTGTTTTTTTCTAACATTGATATTTCTACACCGTCAATAATAAATATTATAAAAAATTTTATGGGAATAAAAAAAAAATCGTTTTACAACAGTTTTAATTTAAAAATTGTTATAAAGTATATTTTGATGTGGACAAAAAATTAACGAGTATTGTAAAGATGACGTTGACTTGCGATTACGGGTCCTACACGTTCTCAGAAAGCCTATTCGTAAAACTAGTATGCATAAAGTAACTGTTTTTACTAAAATGCGTGACGCGTGGTAGACATTTTTTACCGATAGGTGCTCGAATTACCAAAACGACGACAGAGGCTACTAAGAGTCCAAACACCTCGGTGGTCGACCTTGAATAAAATTATAACGTTGATTACAGACACAATAATATGTTCTTCGTCTTCCCCGCGACGGTCAACGACAGCAGTCATTGTATTTATACTTATGGTAGTTGAAATAGCGAAACAGGTCCCTCAAACAACCCCATTTCGTGCCCACAGACATTATCAATAGTTAATTTAGTTTATAATATCACACAGATAATATCTAATAAGTAACCGTATATTCTTAGAATTAAATATTATATTTAAGAAGCAAATATTAGTGGAGTCTAAGATTTTTAAGTAATATAGAAATATTACACAGTCATAAGAAATAAAACATCTGAAATGAGGTTTCTTTATCTTTGTAATTTGAACTAAAACAACAAAATAGTAAAATTAATCAAAATTTTCATACAATTACTACCATTTATCATGTAAATTTAATGCTATTATTATTTTTTTTAATAATAAAGTAATATTGGTTTCAATAAATATTCTGTAGATTTAAAAAAATAAGCCAATTACAATGGCAGTACATTTGCTATAAATACTAAAGTTTTGTTTTATTTAAAAATATTAAATTAATGAATTGATTAAGTTAATTTTACAAATGAAATTTGATTTAAAAAGTGCTGAACCATATTGTTATTTTAATGCATTGTTTTTGTGATATTTCAAACGTAGATGGAACTTGATATTTTCATTTATAATTATGTTAATGTATAAATTAAACAACAATACAACTTAGGTGATCTATCTGCCGGTAACACACCGTATCTCAATGCGCACATTCGCACCTAGGTATGGTGAATCTTAGTACCTGTGGGTATGGGCTTCAACTCTGTTGTGCTAAATTTTCTTTTCCTCTCTGACACAAGCAATAGCATTTAATAAATGACAATGTAAAAATAAACAATAGTTTATTCAGGTTAAAGTATACCTTTTGTCTTTAGATAAATATATCATATTTTAAGAAATAGTATTTATTTGAGTTCAGTACATATTAGTATATTATAGTTTCCACATAAAGTGCAAATAAGAAAAGGATTCAATGGGAGTAGTACCCCAACTAAAAAAATCAAATTTATCTGTAGTTCAATTTTGAGATTAAAAACTTTTAAAAAAAAGTCCTCATGTCTTGAAAATTTTGATATTGGGCTTCAAATATAATGGTCTCCCCAAAAAATGTCTTATGTATCTCTTTCTATTTCACATACTTAATACGCCTGTGACTATATTAAAATGGTATAACTAACAATATTGAAATGTGTGTCATTACTCATGATTTTTAAAGTCTACTATGATAATAATGTAAGACGCATAAATGACAAGTAGAATTGTTTTTTTTTATTTGATACGACAATTAGCAATACTTTCTGAATCGCACATTCAAACAATACTACTAACAAAACAAACGAGATTTACACGAGTCAATTATATTTCTTTAAAAGCAGCAACGGATCTGAAATATATATTTAGGTTATGTGATCTTCAGAGGTATTCGTAGCTCGTTGATAAAAGAATAATAAACGATATAATAGAACCGACAAAGATTAAAGCCAAACAGAAAGATTTATACTGATCACCTAAAACGCGATGCCTTGAAAGATATATTCTTAAAAAATGTAGATAATAATATTTCAGTTTGATTTTGTATGACTTGAACATTTTCTTAACATTCATAAAAACTTCGTACGTGACAAATTTGTATTAATGTATAAATTGATAATTTTTCAAACGCAGCTAGTTCTGTATGCAATTAATAATAGAAACTAAAAGTTATAGGGATTCGATTTAGAATTTTGAAGGCCTTAAACAAATCATTCAGATGACCGATAATTCATCTTTCAAATTGTCTTAATGGTAACTTAAAAATCGCTAAAGAGACGCTGGATATATTATCGCACTAGATTATAATTTTTTTTTTTTACAAAATACCAGCTTAAAATATAAACTATATTAACGTTTGCATGATACTTCATAAATTCCTGATTAGAAATTTTATTTAAGTTTTTTATTATTTTACAAACGAACGAGTAGTCATATTAGAATCGCTTTAGAGTTGATGATAATGAAGTATCGACTGCATTCCTTTAAATAATTTGGCACACAAAAATGTAATAAGTATTCTGCTGACAGCGTTTTGTATCGCACCAATAAATGTGGTATTTATGCATGCGATGTACTTAGTTATTTATTGACGAATGAAACAATGATATTTATAAGGATTTTAATTTACTACCTTAACACAAACACTCCTTGGCGACCTACGGCAACGCCCTACTTACTGTGACAGTCCCAATTATTTAAGCAAAGAACGACTCGAATTTTCTCAACTCATTCAGAATTCG